CACACACACACACACACACACACAAATTCACCACTACAATTGAGCATTAACTAAAAACATAAGATCACCTTTTACAGAAAGTGTTTAGTAAAAGTAAAACTATTTAGAAAGTATAGTACAACCTGAATATCTGCTCTGAAAACTACAGCATATCTGTACCTCTGATTTGGTCGCAGCTGAATTCATGCTGTCGTCCTCCACAGATGTTTTTCCCACCAGGTTTTTAAGAATCTCCAGTCTCCGTTCACAACGTTCCTCAATCAGTTCCCTCTCTCTAGATATGCGCTCACTAAAATAGAAAAAAAAAAAAGATACAGAAAGCGGTCTGGGTCATCATATAGCATGATCTGTAATTTGCTTTAATTACACATAATTGAGCACAGAGGCCTGTGATCTCTGACCTGTAATCTTCCTGCATCTGCGAAATCAACTCAGAGAATTCTTTTGTAACTTCATCTCGAACACATGCCTCGAGAGCTAAGTGTTCGGCTTTCTCCTTCCTCAACTGCTGCTGAATCTCCTCTATAAACTGCAGCTGGGCCTTTACATACAAACACAAAACAGCCATGCTGACACAGAAACCTCAGTGTTATGCAAACAAAATCATGCAGCAACAATATAAATATATTAATACACGCATCAATATTTGTGTGTCCTAAGTGGATGAAAACCAGTAAAACAGTTAAATGCGTCTTGTCTGACACTTAAAGTTATGGCTGATTAGGACAAAAACTAAAATTACTATAGATGTGACTTAAGGTGTAAGGTGCCCGATCTCACCTCATAAACCCCCCTATCGAGCAGCACAGTCTCTTTCCCCTCTTCCTCAGCATCCAGAATGGTGTCCTCCATTTCACTTTCCTCTTCATCCTCCTCAGTGTCAGAATCTTCCTGGACATCCTCAAGGCTGGGGTCCCATTGCACCAGCGAGCTGCGCCGCATTTCCCGTCGATCAACGTTGTTGATAATGAAGGACACCTCTCTGGCACTCCTTTTCACCACCACTGGAATGCTCTTAGTGGTGAGAACCACCACCTGAAAAACACAGAACTATCCATAACACAGCTACAAAAAAAAAAAAAAAAAAAAAAAAAACCCATTTAGCATTTCAGCAAAGAAAAAAAAAAAAAAATTCCGCAGTTTGAGCAACGTCAAGAAACCTTGACAAATATGATGGGAAAACAATTAAATGGTCCAAAAATGTAGGATACAGGCCCTAAAAAAAAAAAATTGTGTCATCAATTATTCACCCTCATGTTGTGCCAACCCCCTAAGACTTCCATTCATCTTTTAAATACAAGTAAAGATATTTTCTAATGAAACCCGAGACATTTCTGGACCTCCATTGAAAGTCCATTCTACTGAAACGTTGATGCTTAAAGTTTCTAAACACATTGTAAAAATAACCCCTATGAATCAAGATGTTTAATCTAATTCTTCTGAAGACGAGGCACAATAGCTTTATATAATAAATACATTTAGACTTATTCACGTGCATTGATTAACACAAATACATGAAGCACATCAAATATTGTAAACAGGAACTCAACTGTACTACCATAATTGTGTCGCTTTTAAGTCTTGGATTAAACCAAGGATTCATATGGATTTCTTTTACAGTCTCTTTACGAACTTTTTGAAGTGTCAAAGTTTTGGTGGAATAGATTTTCAAATAAAGGGACAGAAATCACTCAGCTTTCATTAAAAATATCTCAGGTTACATTAAATATTCAAAGACGAATGGCATGAGGGTGAGTAATTGATGACAATTTTCATTTTTGAGTGATCTTACCCTTTAAGGAGTGAGACGCACACATATTAGGATGTTACACACCTTTTGAGCTACAGCAGAGAACTTGAGCACGTTGAGCGTCTCATCATACATGGAGGCACTCTGGTTAATGTTTACAATCATACAGGCTTTGCCCCGGCCAGTAAAGTATCCCTGCAGATAGTGAGTGAGTTTACTCTCTCTGAATGGAACGTGCTGTCTGAAAGGACAATATAAAAGTGTTTAAAGGACAAAGCAAAGGAAAAAAGAAAAAAAAAATTAAAAGAAGAAAAAAAAATTGTATACCTGGCCTGCTGGTTATTTCTGAGTGCATTGATGCATTTTCCCAGGCTGAGTAGAGAGGTGTTGATGTTCCCTGCCTCTTTCAGCCGTTCACCTTTATTTTGTGTTTTAGCACATCGCTCCGATCCAGCCAGATCACACAGCGCCAGCCTTGAACCAGAGTACATACTTTTACAAACCATTCTGAAACACAACACAACCTGTAGAGAGCTCAGATCAGGATACACAGACTCACTCGCTAACTGACTCCACACTAGGTATTCCCACATCTTCCACCTTCAGGATCCGGACAGAGAAAATACTGTGGCTAAAAATCAGGCAAAGAAGACATGAAGTCAGAATAACATATGCATACAACACCCACTGTGTTAAAATGGATATATAGCAGGAAGTTACAGAATTTGTATAGTGTACCTCCTGCTGGAGAGCAGGTTGAGTTTAGTGCTGGAGATGCTCTGGTTCCTTTTGCCCAGTTTCATCACTTTTAAGGCTTCATCAGCACTGCTCACCTGCACCCATCTCAGATCTAGAAAACAAAAACTGTTATGAGCAAAGACACAATCTGATTCAGCACCTTTTTTACCACACCACATTTTTACTTGTTGCTCTAGCACCAGCACCTGGCCAGTTTTAGCTATTACACATTATCCCAAGAAAAAAAACCAGAAGTCACTTCAGTAATTACATATTAAATTTAATTGCTCTTTGGAATGATTTAATGAATAAATACTGCAGTGTAATCTCACTCCTCCAGCTCAAACAGCATATGGTTCTAGCAACACCAAGGTCATGGGTTTGGTTCTCAGGGAATGCCTGAACTGATCAAATATTTAACTTGAAGTCACTTTAGATAAAATAATCTGTTAAATGCATAAAAGAGAAATGTATATGAAATATGTATATTTTTTGTTATATGCTAAACTTTATAACATCAGGGTTTAACATTTGCTTGGATGAGCCATCAGGTCCATGGACACATTGTAACAGTTTAATAACAGAATATATAGTAAATTACAGAAACAGGTGACCATTTACCTTTGATGAATGAGTTTCCTTTGACATCCTGACAAAGACGGAGGTTGGTTCTCCGTGAAGCATTGTTTGAATGCTGTTCTAGCAAGTCGTGGATGTTCTCATTGTAGATCTCACAGAATGAGACCCAAATAGAAAACTTGGTGTGTATATCCAGATCCACAGCTAAGCTCCTCTCAATCACTGCAGAGCTTATATCACTTAGAGTGGAACCATCTAACAGGCAACCAGAAAGTTATGGGTCAGCCAGACAAACAATAAGCAGACTGCCAAGCACAAGGTGTAACTAAAAAAAAAATAATAAAAATCTCTTTACCTTCAAGATCAGACTTCAAGCTATGGCAAGATGTACTCTTCTGTGCATCAGTCTAAAGAGAAGACAACTAAAGAATGAGTCAAATGAAACACCCCTGAAAACAGAAGTTGTTCAAATCACGATGAATGACATGCACAGATTACAAAAATTAAGTATACTTGTAATTAGATTAAATTACATTCTCCCTAATTCTTCTTTTTCATCTTTTCAATTTTCCTTTCTAAAATAGCCTACCGCTTATATACATTCAGAAAGTCGTACAGTTTTGTGGGCATTCACAGAGATCAGTCATTAGTCAGGTGGCTACACTGCATTTGACCTCTGGATTTACAAAAATCATTTCAGGTTTAAGAAGTGTTTCAACATTACATCAATTACTGATGAACACATTAATTTTTATTTGAATGATCACTCTGTTGGTTATTTTACCATGTATTACTTTGGAAGGCGTTTGTCTTTCTAACATGCACAAATTAAACAATTTTTTGTCATCTGATCCTCTTTCACCTATTATATTTTTATTTGAAGTACTTTTAAAAATAAATAAAATAAATATTTTAATAATAAAAGTATCACATTTGCATGTTAATGGCTCTCTGACGTTGGTTATGGTCACATGACATGTAGGTAAACAAATATTTCATTTTTTTTCAGTAAGTGTTTTATTTTGATTCATTTTAAAATAATGTTTTCATTTAACACTTTTATGATTTAATAAATTATTAGCTTTTTATTAAACTCATAAACCCCCTGCAGTTCCTTCACAAACCCAGTTTGGATAACCTTGACGTAATATAATATATGGTACATATTTAAATCAAACGTAAAAAAACGAGATAGGTCAAAAGTAATCTAAAAGTAGTCTGATTATATTACCTTAAATGTTTAATGTAATGGATTATGTTACTAACTACAAATTTTGTCATGTAATTTGGAATCAGTAACGGACTACAATTTGTAAGTAATCAACCCAGCTCTGGACATACAGTACCTCTTTAAAAAGCTTTAGCAGGTTGCGTTTGCCAACTGCTTCCTCATTTTGCTGATCTTTGGTGAGCCGGATGAAATCCCGGCACCTCTGGGGTTTTAGGCACATCTGGGTGAAGATGCGACCATCCAGACTACTGAAGATCATGTTGAGGGAACGAGGCAAGATGCCTGGATCAGTATCCGGACCTAATACATCAAAACACCATCCGGACATAATTCTTGAATTTGAATATTTTACAAAAGCAAATCACTGTTAAAGTCAGCACAGTACAGAAATTCAAGCTTTGTATTTTGTAAATGCATCTTAATTATGCATTATCTTATTATTAATGATTCATTCATGCATGCTGTGTTGATACATTTTTTGACCTTGTAAGTATTATTCAAAATGTCACAACACGCATTCAGGGCCCCGTTCTTCGTACGTTGCTAACTCAGTTAGCTGGATTCCATAAGCTTAAACCTGCTCGGGAGCGGCTTATTTCATGTAAACAGGATTAGATCGCATCTTTTTAAGCAGAACTGATACTTAAAATCTGTCCGCTACCACCGCTACTTTATTACAAGAGCATCCTACTGATCCAGGGACAATCATTTTAAATAATAATCATTTAAAAATTAATTTAAAGATAATATAATAATGTTGTGTAGTCTTTAATACTATAGACACAGCCAGTTTTACTCACTGAAAGATTTGTTCATCATAAAATTACTACTTCATAATTGTATTCGATCCGATAATTGTATTCGATTCGAAGGGGATTGTATCCCCTTTTAAACCAACCCATGAACGCGCATTTATCTCAGATAACTCAATCCAGCCATACTAATCATCAACAACAGGTGCGTTCGAAGAACCGAATTAGCCAGATCCTGATTAGCGCGATAATATCATCTTGGATGTGACATTTCATCTCGGATGTAATAAGCGACGTACGAAGAACGGGCCCCAGATCTGCCTCCATTCAATTAAAGGTCACATATTGTACACCTTTCGATTCAAACCAGCGCAGATTCGGCTACATAAGGAGCTTAAAATATCTTGTTGTGATGTTGGGTGCCAGAATCGATGTAATACAGCCTTAAATTAGAAATTTGATATTAAAAATATCTGCTGCCACTGCCAGACAAAAAATTGACGACAGCTGTGGTTAAACGCGATAAAACGAGCGGACTGGACAATTTTACTGTGGACTGACTGTTTTGAAACTTATATGGTAGTTAAACAGCCCCTAGACCTCAGTTATCGTGAAAAAAGCCAGGAAATTTCAGTTTTGACAATATGGGACCTTTAACCAATGGATAGAACCCCTGGAGAAAATGGATAGCCCTTCTTGCCCTTCTTTTTATTTTTGATGCTGAACAAATGATCCATCGCTACTTGTTTACTTCTGAATTAACACAGACACTCTTTTACATGGTTGGTCTGATCGAAACTGACCTCAATTTACTGACCCTACTTCATATTCCTGGTCATTGTGTTCTTCTTCAGAGAGAAAAAAAAAAAAGTTTGTAATCTTTCATTGAAATAACTTTTTGCGCTTCGGAAAAAACTTTTGCTTCTTGCTCAAATTAAAATGGGTTGTGGTCTTGTGGAGCATTAACACGTTGACTTTTAAGCTCTATTGACAACATTTGTGGCATTATGTCAATTACAGAAAATAATTCAGTTTATCAATACAATAAGAACAATAAAAACAAAATATACAAACCTAAAAAAGTGAAGGTCTTCCCAGCATTGGTGATACCGTATGTAAAGACCAGAGAGTTTTGTCCCTCTAGCACATCCCTCACAAGACCCTTCACTGTGCCATCAAACATCTTCTTCTGGGTAGTGTCTGGACCATAAACCTAAAAATACCACAATGTTGATATCACCTTGTGAATAATCTGTCAGACAAAACCAAGTTATGTGCATGACTCAAGACGGAGCACAACATTTGACCTCAAACAGTATTTCCAAAGACAAATTTGAAGATTCTTCAGGATGGTTAAATAGGGAAAATGTAATCAGTCACAATCTAGATGGTTTGTGCTGATGGGTCTGCTTGCCTGAGAGAACTGGAAACGTTGAGCTGTAACTGGCACTGATTTATCACTGAGCCTGGCAGAAAGAGATGATTGTGGAGCTTTGAAGAGCACAGTCTCTGGAGTCTGAATGGCCACACAGTCCTTCAAAAACAGAGAGAAGGCACAGACTAATAATTTTATTTAGAGGCAATATTTGAAACAGATTTTCAGGGACTTTTTCCCTTTAAAATATTTTTCCTAACCCTATAAAAAAAATTCTACATGAGGGTCTGCATTTTAGGGTGCTTTAATGTGTGCAGTATCCCTGAACCATTTATTCCTTATTTTCACCTGTGATTCTCCATTCTCAACCTCAGCTGATGAAAATGGTCTTATCCTAAGATACACCTTCAAATGTTCCTTCTCCAGGTCAGACTGGTCCTTCAAAAGAAACATCAAGGCTCAAAACATTTCTGTTGATTGTTTCATTAATCACAATGTAAAAATAACACTTTATCCTGTAGTATAGTTCATGGCCGGTGTTCTGACAAATAATGCTACCTATCAGATTATGCTAGCAACACTATTTATCCTACTGTAAGGGTAGGTTTAGGGTTGGGGTAGGTGTACGTGTTAATAAAGCCTCACACCTTATTAAAGGGGTCATATGATGCGATTTCAAGTTTTCCTTTCTCTTTGGAGTGTTACAAGCTGATTGTCCATAGACAAGATCCCTGAAGTTGCAAAGACTAAAGTCTCAAAACCAAAGAGATATTCTTTATCAGAGTTAAGACTCTGCCACACCCCCCTAAAACGGCTCGTTCTAACACGCCCCCACATATCTACCTCACTATGTGGGTAGAAAACCTTTGAGAGAGGCGGGGCATAGAGGACCTACAATAATGTACAGTATTTGAAAAATAATGTGTTTTTTGAACATTAAAGCATGTCAACATATTCTGTTACACCAAATACACAAAATAATGATCTTTAAAAAAAGCATCATATGACCCCTTTAATATCATGCTGGAAGCAAAATCTGATAGGTAGCACTTTTTGCTATCGAACTATGCTAACATTACCATCTGTTTTAATGGGAGGTAGCAAAATCTGACAGGGTATCACAAATCGTCAGAACACCGGCTGTCATCTTACCTGGAAATCTGAACACTCGCTGAAATCTGAGGACAGATTTCTTCTTAAATCTTCCGCAGCTATCATCTCCGGTCTTACCATATCATCCTTTAGCCCTGATTCCATCATATTGCTCTAAAAAAAACATATGAGAAGACATAACGTAAAAGAGCAGGATGAAATAACAGCCTCTGGTTTACCGAGAATAACTATGACAACCCTTTAATCACATCTGATGGTAATTATACACGTCCTATATATTTTAGCATTTTGTCAATTGTATAATCTTATGTTCATTTTAACAGACAATTACACAATTTTACATATTTTATGTCAATCTGACACACAAAAAATGACATTAACAACCACCCGAACTGACAAACTCACAAATAAGAACAGGACAGCAAAACACGCTCATTAAAACAAGTTAACTTGGTTGACTTACAGGACTGTGAGTGGGTAATGTGTATTATATTGTTTTTAACTCGGCGGCTGTTTATTCGTCTTGCCTCATCTTTCAAACTGTCGCTCGTACTTATTTTCAAATTCCACCAATCGGATAAGCGAGAGCAACCGCAAAGGATGCTGGGAGCGCGTACTCGTGCACGTCACAGTGACGTTACATATGCGCAGAAGGTGGACTGCGCATTTCTCATAACTAGATTGCTGCTTGTTTGTACCTATACAGACATGGTTTGTACACAGTTGTTTGGTGTGCTTTTTCGATTTGTTATTTCATTTCTTAAGTAGTGTTTTAAGTGTAATTTGTGTAATTCGTAGAAATACGTTTTTCTAGATAATGCACATTCAAAATACAAGAATAGGCTAAATAATAACAACAACATACAAATATTCCTACATTAAAATACCAAACCAAAGTACATTGCAAAGTAATTACATCAGCAAGTAATAAAAGATAATAAGCGAACAAGAAGATAGAAATTTACCCTAATAGAATAAAAAAAAAACATAAAAAAACAGAAGAAGCTCTGCAAAACAAGAAGGAATGTCAATCATGATATAGCTATTCTTGTCTAGATATCTTTATTTTTAATAGACGTTGAGGCCTAAATACAAATTCAGTTCTTGCTTGGAGACATTAAAGTGGTATTTACAGTTTGTGTATATAAAGAATGTAAAACTTAACAATAAACAGATTTAAGTTTATAGGTTTACTGTCCATATTTTTGTCATTAATATATATATATATATATATATATATATATATATATGTGTGTGTGTGTGTGTGTGTATGTATACATATATATATATAAAATAATATGTCTTATATAAAGAAGTCACATAAAACTGTCAGGAAACACTTGGTGGCTCATACCAAAACACTGTATTCCCGTTTCAAGTGATTCACAATAATTACATTTAAGGGTTTAAAAGAAAGATTTACAAAACACATATACCAATGCACATTTCATAAGGGATGTCCATGTACCCAGTGCCAAAGTCTTTCACAAATCCAGTCCATAATTACATAACAATTACAATAATATCCATCATAATAAACATTCTCAGACCATCATTCACATTCTGTTCCATTTCTGAACACTTGTACTTCTGACTCCAATCTGTCGACATTTTTTCCAGTAGCTCAAACTGCCATGGACATTTTTCAAATGCAGTCACGTTATGAAATTAAAATAATATTAAATAATTACCCTGAACAAGCAAACAAACATACAACCACTCACACGTGTTCATGCCTTGCGCCACTCACCGAAGATTCTTTGCTCTCAAAATCAAATGAGACAAGTAAGAAAACAATATTTACAAATAACCTCATCAATATTTTAGACACTCTATCGCCAGCAATTAGCGTCATCATTATGAATTTTGCGAAGTACTGTTAAATTTAACATTTAATATGAAACAAAGAAAGAAAAAGCATTTTATAACACTTCAGCATTGAGATGGATGTTGAAAAGTTGTACATTTGGATTTGGTGCTTCTTCTTCATTAAAATTATTCAGGATGTTTTTCACACCTTTTTGCCATGAAAGCAGAGTCTCCATTGGTGTCTTTCCATCCTGTAAATAACAGATAATTTTAGGATATATCCACTAAAATATACCCATTTAAACAGATTTACTAACTAAGACTTCTGAGAAACACGGTATGAGACAATTCTTTTTGCACTGGCTATTTGCATTGTTACTTAGTTATAAAAGAATCAAGCATTCTAAATCTTTTTGCTTATCATATTTTTGATATTGTGGAGAGTCAGTAAAGAATCCTGTAGTGCCTCAATCTGTCTCTAGAGGGCACCATGTAAATTTCAACGTCATATAGTAAGAATTGTATGTACTCTAATTGAACTTACATTGTTTTTGGCATTTAGACTGGCTCCATACATCATCAGCAGTTTTATCATTTTAAATCTGTTTATCCTCACTGCGTCGTGCATTGGTGTGTCTCCCTCCTACACAAACAAAATGCATTGGCATTAGAGAAGAACTAAATGTGGGAAAATGCATTAATATCTTAAATTTGCTGTTAAAAAATGCACAAAAATAGTCAATTTAAAATTAGATTACTATACATTATATATCAAATAATATATTATATGAAAGTTACCATATTAAAAATTCTGAATGCTTTGGAAAATATTTGAAAAGAGCGCAAAAATAATTCTTACCCTATCTTTCGCATTTACATCAGCTCCACAGTGAATGAGATGCTCAGCACATTCGTAATGTCCCGTCCGAACTGCAACATGGAGGGGTGTGCTGCATAGCTGAAGATACACAACAAGAGTTTTGGTTAGTACATTTTGTGCTAAGAGTGCAAACTACAGTGCTGCCAGAGGCACACTGAAAACTTTAAGAACAAGAAGGATAAAAATTGCTTCATCATTGTTTGCTAAAAAAAAGCATGAGAATGATTTGTGAATGTTATTATCACTGTCCAAAGATCCATCTGGTGACATATGTTTGCAGGATCTTTCTATCTACCTTGTCTCTGGAGTTGAATTTGGCTCCTTTATTGAGAAGCAGCTCCAGGGCAGGCAGGCTTCGACCTCTACATGCCCAGTGCACAGCTGTGGCATCAAGCTATGAACATGCGATAAAGAAATTGCATCTCAGAATTATAATAAAAAATAAATGTGAGATAATATTCTTGCAGCACTGGTGTAACAGTCATATCCACCATCTGTGCTACCTTGTCTTTTTGATCCATGGATGCTCCACTCTCCAGGAGCTTCTGCATGAGCTCTATGTGACCTTGGGCACTGGCTTTATGCAGAGCTGAGCACTTAAACTGAAAGAGAGAGAGCAAGTGAGAGTCAGTATTGATATTGTTAACAAAAACTGTTCATTTTTTTTTATTGTTAATTGAAATTAAAATCTAAATATTAGATTAAAAAACCTAAAAAACTAAAACTCAAAATGTTTAATTATAAGTTTAAGTTGAAGAACCAAAATAACTAAAACTAAAGCTAAAATAAAAATGAATTAAAAGTAAATATTACAAAAAAAATTACTGCTATATTATAGTATATAAATAATACTATCTTCTCTAATACATTAGAAGCTGTTGCCCCCATCAAATTAAAAAAGGTTAGAGAAAAATGTACTGTGCAATGGTACAACAGTAATACCCATTCTCTCAAGAAAGAAACTCATAATGTTGAGCGCAAATGGAGAAAAACTAACTTGGAAGTTTTTAGAATTGCATGGAAAAACAGTATGTCCAGCTATAGACAGGCTCTAAAAGCTGCCAGGGCCGAGCATATCCACAAACTCATAGAAAATAACCAAAACAATCCAAGGTTTATTTAGCACAGTGGCTAGATTAACGAATAATCAGACGCCACCCGATCTAAATATTCCCTCACACTGACTAAGCCAGGCAGTTCTCCTTTTTGTTTTGAGATCCATTTTTTCACACTGAGGACAACCTGAGGGGCTCATACTGTCACGTGTGTGTTCCTGTTTAGTTCCTGTTTGTCCTTATTTGGTCCTTCCAGTTCCTTTTCCCATTATTAGTAATCATCTGTTCCTTGTTATTAGTTATCCTCATCACCTGTCTGCCCCTCATTATCTGCCCTATTTGAGTTCGAGCCCGTTCTGTTCTCCCTTGTCTGGAATTGTTCATGTCAACCTTGTTTTTCTGTTTCCTTTTTACTATTAAAATTAGTCAAATTCTCCTACGTCTCCTCGCTCCTTTGCGCCGCGCTCCTACACAGCAGCAGTTCCGTGACAGAATTCCAGACCGATATAAAGTGAGCGACGCCTTTCATCCCCGTGTTTCTTTTCCGTTTTTAAAAAGTTTTGTTTTTCTGTTTTCCCTGGAGGCAATGGAAACCGCCGCACTATTTTCGGCCCTAACCCGCAGAGATCTCCCGTTTGAGGATTATGCACGGGAGTTCTGCGGGCTCGCCGTGTATACGGCGCTGGATGGACAAGCCCGCCGGCCGCCGATAACTCAGGCCTGCCTGCCCTGACTTAGCGCTTCTGGACATGGCGCTGCCTCCGGAGTTCTCGGCTCCTGTCCTCGCCCCGGAATCATCCCCGGAAAGTTCTCCTTCGTCTCCGCTGGTCCCGTCCAGCCCTCCTTCGTTTCCTGATTCCCCCGAGTTAACCAGCCGTGCCCCTCCAGAGCGCCCTCCAGTGTCCGCTCCTCGTAAACGCCCCCCAGAGCCGGCTCCTCGAAAGCGCCCTCCAGTGCCCGCTCCAGTACCCGTGGCCGAGCCAGCTAAGGCCACGGAGGATCCGCCATGGCTTCCCGAACTGTCTGCTCCGCCATGGCCCCCTGAGTCTCCTGATCCGCCATGGCCCCCTGAGTCTCCTGATCCGCCATGGCCCCCTAAACTCCCAGATCTGCCCAGGAGGCTCTCCTGGTCTCCGCCCTATTCATGTCCTGCACCAGCCTTCAGGGTGCCCCTCCCCCCTCCCCTTTTTTTTTAGAAAAAGTTGTCTGCTCAATTGTGCTCCTTCCTGTTTCAGACCGATGAGCTTTGTAAAAATTTACGTGTTTCAGAAAGGCGGGGCATAGAGGAGAAACGATAATGTACAGTATGTGGAAAATAATCTTTTTTTTTTAAACCTTAAACTGCATAAACACATTTCATTACACCAAATACACAAAATAATGTTATTTTTAGCAACATCATATGGCCCCTTTAAAAATGTAAAAGATTGGATGGCCAATCATTTTCTCCTATTAAATTCGGATAAGACAGAGATAATACTTATTATACCAAAAGACAGTACACAGAATCTCTTGGATTACAATTTGCAACTAGACGGATGTACTGTTACTTCCTCTACAGTCAAAAATCTGGGTGTTATATTAGATAGCA